CCGTTAACGATCGATCAGTCTCGGTCGATTATTTACGGACGCGGGTTATCATCGAGCGTATCGATAAACCGTGGCTCCTTCGAGCTGCTTATTGACAATAAAATCGCTCCTTTCCGTCGATTATTCCCGTGCTCGATGAATGGAAACTCGTAAGCGAGTACTCGGCTCCGGGCGATGTTAAATTGCTCGGTGTGGGCGACGCGTGACACGGCCAATCGTGAGAAATATTCAACTTTGATACGCGGAGAATAAAATCTATTACCTACGTTCCATGACGTACGAATGGGTACGATGGATTGATACATGAAAACGGTTTCTGCATTTGTCGTCAGATCGCAATTTCTACTTTCTCGATAGTCGCTGAACTTCACTTTGAGAGACACAAAATTATTGACTTTTCATTATATTTTCTGATAGTATTTGACGAGAGGAATCCAAAAGTACCAATATAAAGCTCAGGAATCCACTGAGTCAAAAGTTATATAAAGTTAAGCGTTTTTAATGTATTTTGAGGTTATTTTGACGCCATATTGATTTCTATTTGTAATTAGACCAATCAGCGGAGTCGTTGCTTTTAAATAGATCACGTGAGCCCAGTCATTTCGGCGGGAAAATCAAATAGTTGATTTTAATTATAGAGCAATTATAAATTTTAATGGATGAGGTTGGTTAGGTTATATATTTTCTAAATTGAATATTTTCAGAGTATTTCTAAGTACATTTTCTTTCCTTTCAATTAAGTAAGTTCGATGATCAAGACAAGTGTATATAAAGATTTTGACTTCCCGCCAAAATGGCCTCCCACGTGACACCGCTCATTGGACGAATTATGGGTAGAAATCAAAATGGCATCAATTTTGAATGTTTGAATCTCTGAGCTTAAAGTTATTATTTTTGGATTCTACTCGTCAAATACTATTGGACTATAAAAATAAAAGTCAACAATTTTATATCCCCCAAAATAAAATAACATTTCAAATATTCTTTTACAATAAAAAATTAATTACTATAATAATTTATTAGTTTCAATCGATATGCAAAAAGTATTTCAAAGGGAGTAGAAAATGATTTCACTAAAAATCACATCGGAAAATCTTTGACGAGACTGAAAGACGCGAAAACTAATTTCGTTTGAAAGCACGCTTTCTCGGAATAAAAACGCGCGCATAATCGTTGGGAATAATTAAACGAGGTTGGACGAAGTGGTAATTAAAAGTGAGCCCATTAATTCGGCACACGGGACCTGGTACCGTTTGAAATTGTTTACAAACTAAAGTACACGTCGGTGGAGGCTTTTAAATGTTCGTAATTACGGGGCAGCTGGTGTCGGGTTACACTCGAAATTAGAATAGCGAAGCGACAAACGAGTAATAAATACAAACGCTCCGATCAATCTCCCTCCTCTTTCTCTCCCTCTTTTCCCCCTTTTACAAAAATAAACCGTAGAATTTTCATGGAAAAAAAGGAAAGGAAAATACGTAGCTGAAAATCGCGCTACGTTCACTAGCGAATTGCATTCAAATTTTTATGAAGCTCGCGCCGGTTTAACTGAACCGACGATGGAAAAGGTCGTATTTCGAGTGTTTGAACGTTTCAATAGGACGAAAATTCACATTTTATAGCGGATTTACAGGGTATTTTTCCAATCCTCCCTACTGTAAACCTGTCCTTCGTTCGTTAAAGAGGAATTGATATTTATTTTGTAAAATTACCGTAAAATGTGAGCGCGATAAAATTCAAAGCTTTCTCTCGAATCGTTTAATACGTGGAACAAATTTAAAAAAAAAAAAAAAAAGAGAGAAAGATTAAACATCAATGTTTATTCGTGCGCTTCATTTAAACGGTTGATTGCTGCGGGGGTTTTTCTTTTTATTGGGGATTTATTTTTTGAAGGATTATTCCTGTTATTAGTATTCTTGCGCCCAGGGGCATGTTACGGCGAACAATTTTTAACGATAGAATCAGAATTTTATAATTAATAAAATTGGTACCTAATGTGAAGAGATACTCTCAAAAGAGAAAAATATAACTCCTAGCTTATATCACTTTCAACAATCGCAGCTCAATGATTGTACGCGCTAGAAATGATTCTTCAATCCGAAGAACGTTAAGCCGGATTATCAAACCGGATTCTTATTGAAGAAGCAGATCACAGAAACATCGAGTTGAATATCGTTCCGCGAAGGTAAACAGAGTTCACCCTACAATCTCGAGAACGGATTAACGTCGGAAGTTCGTGGAAGTAATGGTGGAAAAATTCGCGAACCTATCGGAGGAAAGGAGCAGCCGTTTGAATTTCCAAACGATTTTCGCTAACGGAAACCGCGTCGCCACGAAAGAGCCTCGTTTCATTCGGCAAACTAAACAGCAAAGTTCGGTTTGATTGTCGAGCCGACCGGGGAATACTTATGCAGTTCGATCGATTTTAAAAGGAACACTCGACAAAGTTTCCGCCGAGTCAATGGACCCTTTGCCACTTGTTGAATGTTTATAAAGCGGAATCTAAGTCGAAAGAGAGTAGTGCTCGTATTTCATTGCATATACGAGTTCCATTTACTTGAAAATTAAAAAAAAAAAAATAGTAATATTGTGAAGCTTTATTGCTGAAGTCAAAACGCGAATATTTGGTCGATTAAGGGAGCGAATACAGTTATTGATTCCTATGTAATGATTGACCCCTTTTATAAAAAAATAGAAAATATAATATAAATTATAATTCTATTCGGAACAGAAAGATAATTATATCTTATTATTTAATTAAATTGGAATTGTGGCTTTCTCCATGGCTCGTCGCTTCGGGACTCTCTCCATGGTCCGCCGCCAAAGAACGATTAATTTCTATATAAAAGTTTGATGAGATTTCATGACATAGAAATATTGCAAAATACCACGTATGATATATCAAATTAAAGCTTAAAGATTGACACAAAGCTTTCATGAATATCTTTTATAGAAAATGAGCGATCGTTAGGTATAGCGAAGCTATAGAGGCTATAGACTTTCTTTTTAGGAGAAGGGTTAATCGTTGTAAAGGGATCAATAACAGCATATGTGAACCTAGTGAATAATTATTATTATTTGCAGTGTTCTAATTGAAAATCTAATTATTAAGAATAGGAATAATTTTAAAATTTCAAATTTCAAGCTTTCTATTTGCTATTTTACATTATTTATACAATAGCAATACAAATAATGCGATATTATTTAAAATAATGATTTTCTATCGTTTTCTTTTAATTATTCAGGCACGTGTGATTTCCGGTGACCCCCATAGCATTCAACGTGTTAAAAATAACAGAAAGGAAAGCAACAAGCTCGATTGTCATAGAAAAATAGGGAAAATCGAACTATCGCGCGCTCGAATCTCGTACCTTTATCCTTCATCTTCGATTTCGATTTTTGCATGCGACAAAACGAATCGGGTAATCTGAAAACGGGAAACTGGACGTTCCTAATCCGGATCACGCGTGTCCAGAATGAGATCGGACTCTGGAATGGGATTCGACGGACGGAACGAAATGAACCTCGCGTCGACGATTTTTCCATTCGAATTTCGGCGCAAGCTTTGCTCTCTTTCCTTCGTTCCTTTTTCCCCCCCGTGAAAAACGAGACACCGCTCGATATTTATTTTCCAGGAAACGTAAATACAACCGTCTATTTTTTATCGTTCGACTATTTAGATATGCGTGCCCCTCGTATTCGATTTGGCCAAACGCGTTTTATTGAAAAAATAGTTCCTTTTACTCATTTTCAACTCTCAAACGACTGAGTCCGATCAATAATTAGAGTAGAATTTAAAAAATCAAAATAACATGGTATATAGAGTGTGAAATTTAGAAAATCAAAATAACATGTTATATACAGTATAAAATTTAAAATATCAAAATAATATAGTATACAGAATGTGAAATTATATAAACAATTCAGATATTATTAAACATTTTGTTTTTAATATTGTACACTTTTTAAAAGATGTAGTTTTTAGGTTATTTTTCAAGAAAATTGTAGAACTTATAAAAATAGTTCCATATATTTTTAAGAAAATTTATTAAAATAATAATTCTGAATAATAAAATTTATTCAAGATTTTAAATAATAGTACAAGGTTTGCATTGCATTTTTAGCAAAATATTCCTTTAAATTAGATATATTATTTATATTTGGGTATAAATGTATATAAAATAGATTCAACTTTTTAAAAGGTGTACAATATTATATTAGGCATTAAAATCTTCTTTTAAATTCTCTCACTTCTAATGCCTATGTTAGATGCATAAGAATAATAATAATAATAGAAACTACACATGAATAGTATTCAGAATGGCTTCAAAACAATGAAACTCGGATGGCATTGTGTTGCCCTCGACACAACTGCAATCTGTATAAATATGTGTTTTGGATTCCTTTCCCTGCTACTTCCGTCGTTTCTTTTCATGTATCACCGTTTCAATGTAAACATAACCTTTTACGTTCGCCCATAAAAAAAGGGCACAATCACCGTGAGCAAGTCACGCGTACCCTCATATTTACATAAAGAAAATATATCTTCTTTATTGTGAACACCTCTGTTCATTTAACGATAAAAGTAACACCAACAGAGCAATATTTTGTAAGAACTTTTCAAAATTTTATCATTGTTTGAGAAAATTATCAATATTCCACAATATTTATCAAATAAAAATTTCTGATAAAATTCTACGGTCACTAATTCGAATTCCAATATGGCGTAACGCAAACAATTGAAATAGCTCCGAGTTTCATTGTCTATCGAAACAACAGAGTCTTCCAATAAAATTACATGTTCAACGTTAATAACAACTTTATTGTAATAATAATAAAGTTTCGATCATGAATTTTACTTAATTCTTCTCGTATAAACGATAACCTACGTTAGTATCAAGGTAGAAGACTCCGGTGTCATCGATACGTATTTCAATATTGTTATAACTTATTTGTTCATGCAAATTATTCATAAAAGTGATGGAAAATATTTCACTTACCTTTTAATACAGCTGTGAGAAGTAGCAGGACGAACAGCAAGTACAGTTTTCCGCAATTTCGACGTCCCATCGTGTCCTTAAAGAGGAGAACTCCGCAGCACGCAGTCAATTACGGTCGCACGAAATGCCACTTGAGAGTCTATCCGCAGTACACATCGTTCGACAATCGAAGCGAGTCCCGGCGCGTATCGATACGCGATTCAAATCGAAAACGCGTCACATCCCCGCACTCTTTTACCTAACCTCACAATCGAATTTTCCCGTTGGTCGTTAAACAAAGTTAATCCCGACTTGATTTATTTACGCGTCTAGAATTCACGGCAAACGAAACGGAGATTGAAGAAACGACTCGAATAAACCGTTAATAAATGCTAGATTGTTCGACACGGTCAACTTCACACGCGACACTTTTTGAACAGTTTTTAAACCGGCGGAACGTTCCAGTTCGCGTTTGCACGGAACACGAAACGGAGGAACGTTAATTCGCGCCAAAACGTCATTCGCACCCTTTTCTTTATCACGCTCGACTTTTGTATCACCGCCGTATCGAATCACGATTATTATTTGTTAACGATACCAGAGACGTGCTCGATTAAAGTAGAGATCCTCGAATGAAATGTATCTTTCCGAACCGTTTGTCAATGAATTTTATCGGACACAAATGCTAGAACGATTAGTGAAGTTCACTGTTTTTGTATTAAATATAAAAAAATCTATCGTTTTTAAGCACCGTCGATGATGTACGAGCGAAACGAATCAGGAGAACACCGTAACACATCCGCACTCGCGAAGGATTCGCACGACACTGACCCCTCTGCTTGCCGCGGTCGGCGCGCCAGCGATCACAGATGGCGCATGCGTACCAGGACCTCTGATAAACCAAGGGATTCGGCTTCCCGGCTCGATTGCAACAAGTTGCTGCGCGTGGCTCTCCAACTCTAGGAACGTGCAATCATTGAATGCAGTCGACACGTACGCGAACGGCATAATAAAGTGCAATCGGCTGCATGCTGCCTTCTTGTCGACGCACAGGTGTAATAAAATTAAAACTCCTGCACGCCGCATGCACCACTTTTGGTAATGCTGCCGGTGTACCGACCGAAGGAAAAAGCTATACCCAAGTATGAGCTCATGCTCATTTTAGAGAAATATTGTAAACGTTTCAGGGAATTATTTTTGTCCTAGAAAAAAAATAATAAAAGTTAATAATTTTTTTCAAAATGTCCACTTCAATATTAATAGTGTAAGTCATTTAATATAATGAAATGGACATTTATTATTATAATTGATTGCATTTATTATATCGTACATACTAAAAAAGATACTGATATTAAAAGATAAATTGTATACTATAGCCTTTGTTATCTGGATTTAACTGGACTCTCGGTGTTCGTGGTTAACGAGCCATCGGAGCTATAACAGACATTCTGTAATTAAAATTGAAATTAGTTTAAAATTATTCATTATATATATTAACATAGTAACTTCATAATTATAGGTACATACTTTAATATGTGGACGTTCCTTGGGGTAATTTGATAGAGTTGCTAAAACGGACTTAGCGAATCTTTTTTTTCTGCAGAAAAATAATGTCTAATTATATTACTTTAATTTTAAGGAATAATTGGGGATAGATTTATACTCACTGATATCCTCTACTACTGTTACTAACTTCAACCGTATCTTTGCTACTATAACTGATTGCTGCTAAACAACGTTCCTCGTCCACACAACGATCCTGACATTTACCAAACTTGCCTTTCCAATACTCTTTGAACTTATCCAGCAACCCTTTACGTGCCACTCCGGACATGCATGTGTCAGCCTCGCAGTATTCCTTATTTTCATACAGAACAGCAACCCTGATTAGGTGAAAAGAAAGAAAATGTTATTCTGAATAATCAGTATGGGCCATTCCAAAATTTAAAAATTTCAGATTTTTTAAATTTTCAAATTTAGAAAGACCCCTCCTAGAAATAATTCTAGTTCAAAGTGAGAACACTTTTATATTTATCCCGATACCACTACCAGAAGTACAATCTAAAATAATTCAATTTTCCCTCGCGACATCCTGCTCCATCCCCTGCTCCAAAGCCCTCCCGTCCCAGTTCCAGGGGACACTCTGCATACTAATGGAAAGTGATTTTCATAAACCAGCATCGAGGGAGTAGAGGAAAACGTACGGAGGATCCTGCGGCTCGCTGGAACCACATTCGTCCGAGTGTTTCCTGAGGAATCTGTAGCAGACGACGCTCAGACCGACCAGCAACCACACCAGCAACGCGCTCACCGTGGCAATCGATATCAATTCGGTCGTTCCCAACGCGATACCCGCCTCGTCGTCTAAATTCAGCAAGAAATCCCGACGACATTAGAAAGCTGAAAAATTTGTGGCACCAAAGGTGGAGCAACGCTTTCTCCTTCACCTTTGTAGAACGGTCGCACGCCTTCCTCTGGATCCATGGCCGATGGCGCGCCTATTTTGGGCATCATCTGATAGGCTCCGCTTTTTCTCCAGTTCGCGGGACCGGTTCCCACTCCTGACAAGGAAAAACGATGGATCAATGGAAGGGGTTGGAAAATCGAGCGATGAGATAGAATAAGGGATGAAAAGGATACCAGACTCCTCCAGGGTGGAGATCACCCTCAGAACACCGCCGAACGCAGGGTACCATTTGTCGTCGTCAAGATGTCGTTGCACCTGAAAGAACGTTCGAAATTGTCAGAATGAATTTTTATAGGATTTCGAATGGATTTTTATGGTTCTTAGCAAATGGCTGTGGTGATCTTATAGGAATTATTATTATAATAAATTCAATTTGAAATGCCACTTTCGGTCACAGCGACTCACAACGTACGGATTGCTGCAGCCAACTGTAAAGTTCTTGATTGAAGCTCTTCAATTCCGTTTTCGAGCTGGATTTCGAGACGATGCATTTCACACTGGCTACGTAATATTTCACCAACACGAAAGCCGATCGTTCGTTGTACAGGGACTGCAAGCTCTGGCTCTTAAACGGCAACGCGATGCTAAATAGAATTATTATTTAATATCATTTTGTTAGTTGATGAAAGGAGAATGATTTTAGAGATTGATACCTATTTGGTTCGACGTCGTCGTCTAGAAAAGGAAGAGGAACGATAATTGATTCTTCGTTTCTTACAGATTCATCTTTATGCAATTTGTGCTTCGAGAACCTCTTCTTCTTCTTCGCGAAAGCAAAACGCTTAAGTTCTCGTTTGTTGTGAGTGATTGAAGCTGCGGGAAAGAATTAATATTCCAAGTTTAATTTAAATAATTGTTCTATTATGAAAATAAGAAGGCGGTAAGCTTAAAAATCTAAAATTAATGATAACTTTAGAATTGTCTTTCAAGGCAGCTTCACTCTAGCGGTCACAGTACGGTCAAACATCGGTCAATATCTCTTAAACCAATTGAAAATTTATTGTTCCAATTGAGAACGTTCACAGTACGCGGTTCGGTTAAGTTAAATTTAAATCCATTGACCGTGAAATCGGTTCGTTAGCATCGAGATCGCAACAATCTCCTGATCCAAAAAACGGCGGACCAGGGAGAGCGCCCCAATACAGCGCATCATAAAGAAAGCCCCTAAACGGCGGACCATGGAGAGAGCCACAATTCTAATTCAATTCTATACTTTATATAGAGTTAAAGCATGCTTGTAAAGCGACACTGTTCTTTCTTCGAGTGAATAAATATAAATAAATAAATAAAAACTACCACGGGAAGGGATTTGATCTTTTCTGATCATTGAATGTAAATTCTTTGATAAAATTGACCGTACCTTTGACCATTATCTAATTTAAAAAATAAAAGGAGTAATTTTCCTAAATATGCGAAATATGGAGAATCTAGAAACTCGTCTGCGCGGTTTCCACGGTCAACGAACGGGACCGATTTCTCGGAAAGCTCGATTGTAGCAATCTTCATCGAACAATCGACTGTTCCGACTGAATATTTTATAGTACACAACGATGCTCTTACACGCGGGGTAAGTAATAATCCCGTGGCACGCAACGGACGTTCTCGGCGGTGTGATCACGATCGAGGGAATTTTCGCGTGTCTGATCTCTCTCGAAGGCTTCAGCCATCCGGCACCGTTGCTCCTCAGGAAAAGCTTCAGCTGTTCGTGGAGCTCGAACAGCTTCCTCGCGTTTCGATACTTTATGTTACCCGCGTAATAGGAGTGTCTGGTGAGAGGTAGTATGTAAACTTGCAAGTAGCCACCCATCGTGTCTGCCAGAGCTTTCAGCATCAGGTGCTTCGTTTTTCCCAGTGACAGCTTCCGCACGCTCTCCAGGCAAATGTGAAAGTAATCCATCAGCAGCGCTATGTACCGATCGTTCTCATAATTTAGAACTTTCACCTGCGGGGAACAGTGACGAGGGATACGTGATCAGAAAAGTTTTTTCCACGGACAATCGATGACGAGGGATGAAACAAATGTTCATTGATTTTTATTTATTTCATAAGGAACAAGGGATATTTGAAAAGATAAATAAATAGATAAATAAAAAATGAAAAAAATACACATAGATTTTACCTTGGAATATCAAAATATAAAGTAAATTAGAAATCCAATCGATGACGCACCATATGCGTCTTAGGAAGAAATTGATATTATCAGCCTGAAAAAATTCAAAAGAAAAAAGCTTGTAATAATCATAATTAATGGTAATTTGAATTTGAAATTAAATATGAATAGTCTTCGTGTTACAATAATACCCTGATCTTGAATGGGTGAAAGAGGGCGTAATGGCACCTTCATTTCAGCATATGCAGAGTGTGGCTGTAATGATATGGTAAAATGGGATATGAATTGATTCATCATGGAAGAATGAATAAAAAACATAGAATAAAGTTCATTGATACGAGGCTTCGTTATCGAGAAAATTAATTTTGAAAGTTCATTAAGGACACTGTACTAATGATCGATTCGGTCCTCCTACAGAAGTATCTCCTACTTCAGTTCTATAGTCGGATAATTACTACACTTCCAATAAAGTTAGATGTTTCCTAATTAACAGAATAAACTCGATACAAGTATACCTTTGGTAACAAATCTTGAAACATCCGTCGACTGTTCAAAATAATAAACTCCTCCGTAGTCCAGCACTGTTTAGCAGCATCACTTTTCTCAAATAATACCGTGCCTATGTTTTGTTCGTGTTTAAAAGTGTTGGCAGCCATCGCTCTAACAAGAATAGTCAAATAGAATTATAAAATTATTTAAAGAAATAAATAATTCTAATTGCCTCAAAATTATATAATTTAATGTTGATGTCAATGTATTTAGAAGAGAGTACCTTTCTATCTTAACCAGAGTAGCTGCTACAAATACCGTAAGAAACCATAGGAAGCATGATTTCATACTCCAATCGGTGAATTCCGATCAGCACTTTTCCTTTTAGAATTCTGGAAAATTTATACCGATTCCTTGAGTGTTCCCTAATCATCTCGTCGCAACTTTCTCTCGTTTGTTACGCGACTAATTTCACAATTAACGCGAACGATCAATCGACGAATTATAAATGAACGTATACGCTTAATATGAATTATCATTTCTTTTAAACTCTTACAGTGTTTACATTAAACTCCGACTTTACATCCGACGAAACATTTCGTACAAAACGCTTCTAGTTTTGTAAAAGCATTTTTTGGAAGATCTAAATCGTCCGTGTCACGATGAAAAGGATTACAGAATCTTTACAATAAGGTGTACTTATTTTACATAACTGGTGTGCTACTTTCGAACATGACAAAGAGAGTAGAAATCTTTCGACCTCTAACATCGTCTTCGTGAATTCATTTTCAAGTACCAAAGGCTGCTTTGGAATGGAGAATTACGGGTTCGATGGTTTCATTTTACACAAGAATCGCAGGTGCAACATTTTCACTTCGTCCTTGTTCAGCTTCACGACGCCTTCTTGATTATCTATAGACAGCAACGTGCCGACCGCTTCTCTGTCCTCGCCGATGATTACTTTCACTCGGTCCCCGCGAGATGGAACCACCGGTTCCAGTTCCTCGCAGACCAGGTTCACGACCCTGTCTTCCACCGGGAGGAACACGGCGCACATGCCTCCCTGTTAGCAAAATATGAATATTGATCAAAATTCAATAATTTCTACAAAAGCTCTAAGGAAAAATACTCACGGATATTCCTCGAATAACACCCTGTTGACCAGCAAGAGCAGGATCCTGATGCGAGTCCCGAATCCGAACCTCGATGTCCGTGGTGTGCCACTCGGTTCCTCCCACGATCCCAGCTCCCACGCCAGTGTCGAGACCTGCACCTGGTGTTTGTGGATTATATGGACTGCCTGCAACTCCTTCACCGAACAACGTAAGAAACATGCAGAACGCAACCGTGAAAACGACCGGACAGAACGCTTACCGGGAGTCATAGGACTGTAACCCATCGGTGAGGGCGTAGCAAAGGCTCCATGGGGACTGGTAGTGTATCCGGTACCACTTGGCGAAGGAGTAGCAACGTATCCTGCCGGACTAGGACTCGCGGTAGCGCTTCCCGCTGGACTAGGACTCGGCTGATACGAGCTGAAACTTTGCTCCGAACCGTACATGGTACCAGGTGTCTGGGGCGTGAATGGCCCACCGGTTGGTGGATAACCTGGCGCGTAACCAGGAGATCCACCTTCTTCCATACTGTAACCGTCGAAGTCGTTCGTTCTTGCAGGGGTATTGGTCACTGCTGGATCCCAGGCACCTGACTGTCCTGGTGTACGAGAGCCATCGTGCGATGGAGTCATTGAACCATAATGAGGAGTACGGGAACCATCTACAGAAATGTTCAGAATTAATGTCTGAAGGCGTGTGTCAGTACTTTGATTTTTGATATTTGGTTTTGCATACTCACTTTCGTACATAGGCGTCTGAGAACCATGCATGGGTGTCTTGGACCCATCTCTGGCGTACATCGGTGTCTGACCACCCACGCCGTACGCAGGTGTCCTGTTGTAACTGCTGAAACCACCGTCCTTCGTTGGCACGCCGACGTTCGCAATGTGAGACCTGTCCACGGAGATGGTTTGACAAGTGGAATGCAACTCCACTCGGGCAGTTGTTTCTGTAGCATCTTTTACTATGCCGACGTTTCCTTTGTACGGTCCTCCTGTTATTTTGATGGTGGTTCCTATGAGTTCTCTGTCGCGTCTGGCTCCACCCCCGCGGCCTCTGCCTCTTCCTCCACCTCCGCCGCCTCCTCCTCTTCCAAAACCACCTCTGTGAAAATGATCATTATTAATATACAATGATTATTTAATAACAGCAATAAGTTAGAATATTACTAACCCGCTAGGATGCATTGGAGATGTGATTCTAGGCGACATAAATCCTGCCACCGGTGACATGGACGATATATTGGACTTATTCCCACCGGACAGTTGCAAGTGCCTCGTCTTACAAACGAATATTCCACCGTTGTCGACGAACATCCTCGAGTGCAAGAAAGCAAAGCTTCTGTACAGGTGTTTGATCTCACCTCCTCTCCCGGCGTGCGGCCCATCGACAACCTTGACAATATCTTTCTTTTGTATAGTGTTTTGCTGAGAATCTAGCGCCACCGCGTTTCTGTTTTCGCGACGTTTCGTGAGCCCCTGGGGCCTAGCCTCGATCACCTTCCCGTGCATTGAGAGCACGTGGAAGTTCTCGCGCTCCAAACGAACGATTACCCCTACTGTTTGCGCGTCTAATTGAACCAAATCGCCCCATTGGAATTGACCTAAGCTGTCCACACCGGTTGCCATGTCCGAGCAGAGTTGTAAATCCCTTGGAAGAACCTCGAGCTCGTGCATGGATAAGTCAGAAAATAAGACCACGCGGTTTTGTTCCACTCGGACTATTAAACCAGTGTCGCCTTCGTATCTTCCTGCTACCACCTAAGCAATTATTTGTATTAGTCTATGAATTTTATATCAGAGGAGGTTTTGTATATTTGTTTTGTGTTCCTTTGTTTCTACCTTAACGTGATCACCCATGGTGAAATATTTCCTCAACTCTGAAGCTTGGAACTCCAATGCTTCTTTCAGCTCCTCGTGTTTCGGCATCACCATTATCATGTTCCCATCTATAGACACGATCTTTCCTTGCAAGTTTATCAATTCACCCTCGCACACCTCGACGTTGTCCCCTGTGCTAAAGGAATGAGTGACCGCTGTATCCTCTTTATTCCCAGCACCTCCAGTTCCTGGGCCTCCGGTTATGTCTAACTCGACACCTTCCGGTGCCTCTTCAAACCTCTCCAGTTCAGACAGAGTTGGTTTCACACCCTCAGCGATAATCGCGCTTGTCGTAAAATTTTTGTACAAAAATCTGCAGCAAACAATGTTTCATTAATAAAACTGGATACATTTAATGAATTGAATGATTCATTACGAAACGCACCCTTTTCTACTGTATCTGTTCCCTTCGAAAATCAAGAAATCACCGTCGCTGGTTACTTCTCCTCCAATTGCTCGAATCGCTTCCGGATCGAACGGTTTCGCCGGTGGTCTTCGTTTCTTTTTACGTTTCAAGGCTTCGGATTCACTCTGAGCCGTCCTCAAAGCTCCACGCGGTCTAGTGTAGTCGATTCTGGGCAACAGTTTCAAGTGAACCTGGTTTTGTGCTAAATCAACGTAGTCAACCTGAGCTATGTCGTCTTTATAAATTCCTCTCTTCAGTCTAACCCATTGTTTTGCTTTCAAGCCTGTCTGCTCTTTAACGACGCGCAAGACATCGGTCATTTCTTTTATTGGTACCATTTGTTGCTTCCATATTCCCATTCTCAAATTTCCCACGTTTTCAATAGAAGCTTTTACGTGCGGCTGCTTGTAAGCTTCTATGTAAATGTAACCCTTTACTCCCTCTGGTGCAACGACGGATTTTATTTGAAGTGGTTCATCTAATAAATAAAATCATACGATTAGAAATACAATGATTAATGAAGAATGATATAGTGATAGATTTTCGTACTTGAAAATTGATACGTTATGAATTTTCTCATTAGCAAAAGTACTGTAGCTTTCTCCTCTCCGATGCGGCATTTCACCATCCACAGGTTTGGGTCTTTTACACCTGGTAGCAATGTTTGCTGAGTAATTTCATCGCTCATCTCTTCGCCGCCATCTCCAAAGTGCCGACTAGCCACCGACTCGTCGGCATACTTCTTTCTCAAGTATTCTTCTATCTCATCTTCCTTTTGAGAACTGGAAGAGATTTTAATTATTAGTTTATGAATAAAGAATCGTAAGGTTTTTTTGATCTATAGATATTTACTCCCAAAGGTTGGTGCCTCTACGTCTGCCTTCGATTTCTCTGGCAGTAGGACCCAATTCATCCACCTCGTTTCCGACGATACCAATTTCTTGGGCACCTTCCTCCCATTCGTCTTCATCCTCGACTTCGTCGTCTACTTCAGCCTCTTCTATAATGAAATCACGGTATTTCTCTTTTTTCTTCCTCTTCCGAGGTCTGTCATCGTCTTCTTCCTCCTCCTCCTCATCGTATTCACTGCTTACATCCAAATCTTCTCCTATACAAAGACGTATATGTTATTACAGAAATATCTATGTTATATAATGCCACAATGTTTTTATTTTACCTTCAGGCTCTTCTTCAGCTTCTGCAAGCTCTTCATCCCCAGATCTTGCTTCCTCTGCCTCGTCCCCTCTGCCATCCTCAGAGCTAAAGATTTAATTAATTGTAGTAATCCCAAATAAACGTTGTCACTTGAATAAAACAATATACGTCTGTATAAAAATTAATGATTAATATGGAATAAAAAACAGATCCAGATCTAACAATAAGTATGTCAGTGAGTTCCAAGCATGAATTTTAATATTTTGCCCAATAGATGTTACCTACCCAGAAGGTGATCTAGAACGTGATCGTGATCTAGACGGACTCCTGGATCTAGATCTAGACGGACTTCTACTACGGGAAACGCTGCGAGATCTTTCGCCAACGCTGCCAGCATCGCTGCCAGCTGCAGATTTTACGGAGCGATTCTCCTCCTGATCGCTCTCGCTGCCTCCACCTCCTCGATCGCTTTCATTGTCGGACAAATTGCTCACCTCCGAATCCGACATTTTCAGCAGAAATTAAACTGTGCCTTCGTGCATGCAAATGATCAAACAACAAACAGAAAAGTTTGGTTAGGCCAACGGGGCTTAATTCGTTCGAAGCACGGAACGAAAAAACCAATACACTAGAAACGCAAACGCTACCTACGTGACTACAGATGTCAGTCTGATCTGCGGTAATGTGGGGTGATGGTAGTGCAGTAAAGGCGTGTTCTTCTTACCTTCACACGGTCAGGAAAATGGCGGAATTTCGGAAACTCGATCGATAAATTATCAAGTAGTTTCCGCTGTTTTTGTATAGATGATGCATTTGTCGAATTTGGGACTACTTTTTGTAGTCGATTTGATTTTGTAATTAAATTATAATTAACGTTTATACGCTATCAATAATATAACAGATGACTACTATTTATTTTATAATTAACTAGGACAATGATTATTTTATGGAACTGTAGTTCCATATGTAGTTCCAGTTCAATGATCCATGTTTAGCTTATCAAGTTATAAGCACACTTTGCGTCAGTCTGCTGCGTATAACTGAAATGTGCAGAAATGTAAAAGTATATATACCGCAGTTCACCAGAGTCCATAACTGCGACGCGCAGGTTGGAAGATGGTGGGGGAACGGCGAGCTCTCTGCTAATCGTTTTCTACTTCGTTTGGGAGTATCGCCAATCAGGGCGAAGATGCGTACTGGAGATGCGCGAAGAACGAAAATTGGTCTTTTTGCAGTTATGGACTCTGGTGAACTGCCGTATAGTGTTAATAGTATCAGCTATATACGTAATCAGAAGCATTGACAGTAATACATTTTCGAACGATGCTGTCATACCAAGTGCAAAAAAGTTAGAATCAATCAACATTCGAATATAATCTGTCGGCGTCGACGGTTTTTTGAGTCGGATTAAGTGTGGCGTAACGGCGTATTGTCGTAACATAAACTTGAATCGTTCATCGATAGAAATGATGACAATAAACAAGAACGTTTCGTTTGAATAAATTATAGCGGTCAAAGTTATTTCTAGCGCATTATTTTTTATTTATTCGCTATACAACTCTAGTTTATTTACATGGTAAACACGTTTTCTAATAAGGTTATGCGATTCTTTTTTATCGATCGGTTTTATTTTTTTCTGTAACTGCTCATTATTTAATGTAGATCTAGCAAAGAAATGTTGATTTATTGTTATTCCTTTTCATTGATTCCATAGGTATTTTATACTGTTTTTTATCAATGATCAAAGATGGTTTTCGAATCGATCGTTACTGAACTTTTAAACAAAGTGTTGGGCGAGTATATTCAAAATTTGGATTACACGCAATTAAAACTCAGTTTATGGGGAGGTAAGCATATTTTAAACATAAAAAGACATTTAATTTATGTACGAATGTGATAATAATGTTTAAATGTGAAATACTTATATTTGATTAGAAACTCCATGATTCCCAGGAGAATTAGAAAAATGGAATATGATAACAAAATTGATAACATGCAGTCTGATATTTCATAAACAGAGATGTATTATTAGCTCATCAATGTGACATCAGCTTCTATTTATGTTACAATTTGTAACTACTTTTTTATTGGATTTAATATACACGTGCAATGAAATGATGACCATAGGCTTTTATAATGCAGCTTTTTAATATTTATATTTATACATTAATTTTGTATTTTGAACATAAATAGTACAAGCACAATAAAAAAAATGTATATAGCTATAATTCTTTGTGTTTATTTCTTTATATACATATAGATTCTACAATAATTTAAACATTGCTATTTATATTATGAAATAAGGAAAGTTTTCACTTTCCTTAAAAAAGTTCTTATATTTCTTCATTTCAAAAAAGCCTGTATTTAAAGTACACTTAGAAACAAATTTATGCAACCGTTTGGTATAATTAATTCACATTTAAAAACATATTCTTTTTTTATTCTTGTAAATACATAGAAAATATTTGTTTTTAGGAGATGTAGTCTTAACAGATTTATTGATAAATGAAAGTGCATTAGATGTTCTGGATTTACCTGTCAGACTAGAATATGGAAGATTAGGTTTGTAAATAATATATCAAACAATGATATATTTACATTAAAAAAATATAAAATTAATATAATCTGTTCTTTCTTCTCTTAGGAAAACTTATATTGAAAATACCTTTCAAAGATATGTGGAATGGCCAGATTGATGCGGTAGTTGAAGAATTATTTGTATTAGTAGTACCAACAAGTCAAATTGTATATGATGCAGAAAAAGAAGCAAAAGTACAGCTTGATGCTAAACGTGCAGAGCTTGCAAGAGTTGAGAAGAAAAAACAGTTAGCGGATACAAAATGTACATATACCTTCTAAATGGTTCTATAACTCTTACATTTTGATTTTAGAATAACAGGTGTTTTACTATTGTTTCACAGCACAAGAAAAGTTAGATGATTCAATGGTTGAAAAGCTTATTGCCCGCATGATAAAGAATATTCATGTAGAGATAAAAAAGATTCATGTAAGATACGAGGATCATGTGTCATTTAAAGGTCACCCATTTTCTGTTGGGTTTACGCTTAATACATTTATCCTAGAGAGTTGTACAGACACTTGGGATGTAAATGGTAATTTAAAAGACATGTATGCTATTCCACAAATTTACAAGGTGAGTAGAAGCTGCAAATAATCAATGCCTTTGAAGCAAGTAATACTTGAAATACAAAATGTTCTTTCAGTTATGCACACTGGATGGTTTAGCTGTATATCTTAATCCAACTGCAGAACAGTTCAGTAGTAATTCTCAGCCAAACTATTCAGATCTATTTTACAGTGGTATCGCAACTATAGATTACAATCCACCTGGTTATCAATATTGTAAGTAAGTTAAATTTAAGAAACGTATTGTATAATTAATTATTAAGTTTATTTTGAATACCTTCAGTGTTGGGTCCAATAAACGTCAATGCAAAATTAACATTAAATCCAAAGCCAGAAACAGATGGAAGTAATTATACTATTCCTAAGGTGTGGTTGGATCTGGAAATGCAAAAATTAAGAGTTGGATTAGCCAAAAAGCAATATCGAACCCTTGTTCAGTTAGGCGAAGGATTAGATCAAGCACAAAAAGCTGCACCATACAGAAAGTATAGACCAAATTTGACATCATATACAGGACACTGTAAAGAATGGTAGTAAATTATCATAAATTATCATAACACTTGATATGTTTAATAGCTTAAAATAATATATTTAATAAATATTAGGTGGCATTTTGCATACACTTGTGTCTTAGAAGAAACGGTACGTCGAAATCGTAGGAATTGGGATTGGAATCACATGAAAGAGCATAGGGATATGTGTCGTTCTTATGCCGATACATATAGGACAAAATTAACAACTAAGAAAGTCTCACAAGAAATAGAAGATCTTCTTACAAATTGTGAAATAAAATTGGATATTTTCAATTTAGTTATCATCAGGCAACAAATTGAAATGGAAGTTAGTTGATAGAAGTTTTGGGTTGTTAATGCATACATGTATGTTTTATATTTTGTTCAAAATTTCTATCTTGTATTTCATAGGTTGAAAAATTAGCAGAAAGAGAAAAAACTTTGAAAGCACAACGTGGTTGGTTTGGATTCCTCTGGTCTAGTTCTCAAGCAGAAGAAACTGAAGAATTGAACTCTGCAGCTGCAATCAGTAATAGATTTGATTTCTATTAGCTATTTATTTGTTAGTTAAATAACAATTCATATAAAATATTTCTTTGCAGTGCGCAAATTCGAACAGGCAATGACGCCACAAGAAAAGGAAAAATTGTATAGAGCAATTGATTATCAAGAAAACAGCGCACCGGCTCATTACCCTGAAACATACGTCATGATTGATACACGGTTTCTTTTACTGGAACTTCAAGTTGTAATTTTTGATACGGATAAAGAACATCCATGTATTTTGGATCTTCAGCTTCATAGCGTTGAAGCTTGCTTCAAGTCAAGACCATCAGCTAATGCTATTTTGTACGCAGATTTTCTTGAACAATAGTGTAAATTAAGATAAATATACAGCTTTGAATGTTGCTTCTTTTGTTACAGAGTTACAGCATCCATCAATGAAATGAAACTTCTAGGAACAAAACAAGGTGAACACGTTCCTTCACTTTTTAATTCACAGCAACATAACACAGACAATATTTTATTATCAGTATCATATGAAAAAAATCCTCTTGATAAATTATGTGGCGATCGTGTTATAGTAAGATCAACATCTGTGGATATTGTTTATGATGCACAGACTGTAATAGAACTAGTTAATTTATTCAAAGTACAAAATTCCTCGACTTTGAATCAGTAAGAACAATCAGTAATACAATTTATATTATATTTCATATGCTAAGCATTTTAATATTCATTCATTGTTATTTTATTTAGACTTCAAGCAGCTGCAGCAGAACAGTTAGAAGGTTTGAAAGAAATGTCGGCTCTAGGTTTAGAACATGCGATACAAAAGCACGCGGTATTAGATATACAGGTAAAATTATATCCTGTAACGTGTGTTAAATATGATGAAAAGGAGATAAAATGAGTATGTATTTAACAGGTCAATATGCAAGCATCTCAGCTGATTATACCACACGATGGATTCTATAATAGCACAAAATCATTATTCGTGGTTAATCTTGGTAGTTTACAAATGAATTCTCTAGTAAAGGCAAAAGAAGACGAAACATCTGTTAAACAATTGATTAGTATGGGTAAAAGCGAAGAAGATGTATTATTACATCTCAGGGAGCACAGTTATGACAAATTTGTTTTAAAAATAGTTGATTTTCAAGTATGTACTTTAAAGTTTTTAAACATTAATGTAATGCCTTGAAGATCATATAATTCTAATTATAGTGTAATTCATTTATAAATAGATATTAGTTACACTACCGGGCGAGGAATGGCGTAAAATTTCACCGACGCTAGATGACATGACATTATTACATCCAACAACGCTTGAAATTCAATTTCACAAATGCTTAGTTACAGATGATCCTTTGCTTCCAAAAATTAGACTTATTGGTCAATTACCATCAGTCTTTGTCAATATAACAGGTCTGTCTCTAAATGCACATGATTTATTTTACAATATTAATGTTCCTTTC